GCAAATTTGTAGCTGCTTTTTGACTTCTGTTCCAGACACTTAAAAGAAACTCGATCAGCAAAAGAGGAATCCACAAGACGCTTGCAAGGTCTACACCTGCAACATTCAAATATAATTATAAATGCATGCAAACCAGAACACATACCCTGGTTCTACAAAGAAATGACAAAGTAGAAAGCATAATGGAACCATATGAACAATTACAAATAGGTGATCAAAAATAGAAGTTAATAAAAAGACATGTCCAATATATTAGACCATATACTTGTAGAAAAGCTACGTTGTTTTCTTTCTTTTCAATAATCGATGCAATACAGACATGAATAACAAAATCAACTGATCAATACCATGTTTTACTCTAAAATCTGCAAAGCACAATAACTAAGGAAATCCAAAACCAAATGATCACTGCCCAATCTATTTCCATTGTCTAACAATATAAAATCAAGGAATCTAAGCGATTAACTGGCATTTATGCAAACATATATGGGATGACGAAATTTGAAGAATGGGAAACTACAACACTCTGGATTCTATGAACAGTAGAGTATAAAATTGGAGAGATGTAAAGTAATCTTTTAACACCTATGAAGACTAATAACTGAGGAGTACTCAAAGTCTTTCATATTGTAAACTAAAAAATATAAATACAAGGCTTATCATTATATCTAAATTATCCTTCCTTCTAAATTGAAGGGCTGACAACATATGTATGTTTCATTGGGAACTTGTTTATCATTTTTATATATTGGTTTAGTTTCCCTTTCCCTGTTAGAGTTCTAGACAATTCTAATTTACAGAATTACCAATCAAGTAGGCACTATACTCTAGGGCTTAATGCCTGGTAACACACTCTAACTGGGTTTCCCTTCAATTAACTAATGGTACAGTATAAAACAGTAATCAATCCTGAAAATTAACTTTCTCACAAGCTAAGGTAGGAGAGTCACATAGTGTAACCAAGGGACAGCTGCCAGTCCACAATGATAAAGAGCATGAGGCACCAGAGTTTGTTAGGTCCAATAAGCTGTTGGTGACTATTCCTGCACGATTGAAGGACTGAGGATAGTATTTATCAGGAAATGAGAGTGGGGAAAAGGGGCAGACAGGATGATACTGCTATCTCTCTTCTACGGGCTCTTATCTCTGAGATCCCTTGTTTTCTGTTGATTTGTATGTATTCCTAGTGACTATTTCTACTTCAGTACTAATAACACTTTTGAGAGGAGGTTTCTTCACAGCAATCAAAAACATAAATTGATGAAGTGAATCAGTCTCATACAAATAACCAATTGAAATCACAAGAAGGAGAAGCAGAAGCAATTGTACTTTGAACAATGAAGAAATCACGGAAGACTTGAAGAGACTAGATGGTTGAAGAAAAAGCTGTAAGTACCATCTTAGAAAAACTGAAAAGGGAGAGAATTAAACATGAATTGAATCTTTTTATTATTGTATCACACTTAGAACCATGAGTACAACAGTATTTATAGATGTAGTTTACTACTAACTGTTATAAGAACTGACAGTTGTACAAAGTAATAAAATAGTTTACATGTAAACCTGTTGCAGTACAAAGAAAATAAGTTGTACAATACATTTGTAAACCATGCAGGTTAACTACAGTCTGTATACTAACACATACATATGAAGAAATTGATATAACTCAGACATATAGTAACATGCCCAAACCTGAGGTATTGTGTAGAATACATTGCTGGTATGAGTAAGGGTGGCAGCCTGTTCAACAACAGCTTTTAACCAATCTACATCACCATGCCCCAGAGCATTGACAGCAATCCCAGCACTCAAATCTAAATATTCTTTTCCTTCAACGTCATACAATTTGCAACCTTCCCCCCTCTCAAGCACCACTGCTGTTCTTGCATATGTCCCCACCAAAAGCTTCCCCTCCATCTCGATCACATCCTTAATTTTCTCCAATTTTGCCTTCCCAGTGTTTGGTGCAGCAACATCCATATTAAGACATGCACTCACAACACTCCGACCTCTGATCTGAATACCGGGACTTCTTCCAATCAAAATGCTCTCTCTTGCCAAACTGAAAAACTGCCTGGGTTTGTAACATGGTTGAGAAATTGAATGGTTTGGAGAAATGTGAACTGTATTCATTCTGTTCAGTTAAGGGAGAGATTGTTCCACTTTTTCTTTCCTTCTGCTGAAACAACAATAAAAATTATAAGAAATAAAAGATCAGCTTGGGATAGAGTTCAGACTTCAGTCCTCAAACACTCCACCATGCGAACAAAGAATTTGCAGGTTACCTATATTCAAAACAAAACGAATACATTTGCAACTGAAAAATCCAAAGCGCATAAAAGCACAAAACCAAATCAAGATTACAATGGAATTCAGTGCAAGACAAGATTTGCCAGCAAAAAACTGAAAAGCACCACAGCAAACCTATACTAGGGTTATTTAGTCCCAAAACTTTTCTTGTGTGCAGATTCTTCACCAAAGTCATCAACTTAGGAAGCACATATAAGTAACCACTGCCATCTAACTAATCTATTTTCAATTTTAACCTTTTAAGTACCATTAAATAACACAAAATTAATTCACAATCAAGCAAAACCCTCTTCTCTGAAAAATATGTGTTGGAATAAGCCAAACCAACCCAGTTTCAAACCAGATATCACAAAAAATTGAAGATTTTATCAACCAAACAATTTCAAATCATAAACACTGGTTTTGGATGAATAAGCACTTGAACACCCGCATCATCTGATTTTTAATCTAACATGCTTTCATCACCGAGCAAGTCACAGATTCCCACCTTTTGAATACACTTTCAAATACTAACAACAATTTTTTATTTTGTTTTCTAAGATAAAATACAACAACAAAAAGTTATATCAAAACTAGATTCGAGCTAAGCAAAAAGTACGAACAATACCTTGACAGTAAAATCCTAATGTGGAAGTTTTCAACTTGGAGACACTGAAGAGCCGTGCTCATTTTAAGTGTGTGATGAGAAAGAGACGGACCAAAAAAAAAAAACGTCCACTACAAAAAGTCCAGTTATTACTAACAGTAATAATAATAATAATAATAAAACCAAACTACACCAACAGTTTGAAATTTCTAAATTATACTTATACTTTTATGGATCTGTGATTGTAATAATATTAAAACTTAAGAAAATGGCCATATGATAATTAAAGATTTTCAACAATAGTGGAAGATATGTGTAGAATTTGAAGAAAATAAAAGTATCACAATTTCTTGTTAAAATAAGGTTTAATAAATCTTTTCTTCTTCTTATTTATTAGATTGATTCAGTATATTCTCTTTATTTCTTTTGGGTTCAGTCAAATCTTCCTTTTCTTAAAGTTGATCTAGTTTGTTACATTGACTATAAAATAATATCTGTATACATCAGGTGTGAGATGTAATATTCTTAATTTTTTAATTTTTAAAATTTTTTTTTAAGAGTGGGAGTAAAATATAAAATAAAGTAAGAAATAATATTTTTTTATTCAACTTTAAGAAAATACATACAAAATAAACCTTAAATGCTAAAGAAAACAATGAAAACATTCAACAACACATGAAACCGAACACTAACATTTTTTTCTTTTCAACTTATCATTTTGTTTGTCTTAGTCTGTTTCCATTCACAAAAACATTAATCTAGTTAAAATCTGGGATTGGAAAAAAGTTTAAGGTTTGAGAACCCAATAACAAACAAAAGAGGGAGAGACAGACAGTACCACTTATGAGAGAGACTGAAAAACGGGCCTATGCAAATCTCACCAATTTTTTAAGCCCTAAAATTAAAATAGTATATTGGCTTTTAAACAATAAATAAAATAATATTATTCCAAATTAAAAAATTACTTCTACGTGAAGCTAAAACATAAAATTATAAGTTTTATTTCATTTTTCAATCACTTTAATTTTATATATTATTTTATTTCACTGTCATATAAAATGAAATCTATAAAAATTACTTTTATAGTATATAAAATTGTCGTTTAATTTAAAAATATTTAACTTAAATTATTATATTTAAAATATTATTTCTAATAATTTTAATTTAAATTTTTTATAAGTTCTTATAATATAACGCAAAAATATGAATTTTTTTTTCGCATTCTATACATATTAAAAAATAGATTTAATTAAATATAAAAATATTTTTATTACAACTTATTGTATAATTAAAGTTTTTTTATAAAAATAAAAATAAAAATAAAATAAGAATAATTAATATATATAATTTTTTCTATTTAATTAATAGAATGACTTATTAATTTAATGTTAAACCCCTTTATAAGTCCTTATTTATGTGGAGTTTTCCCAGTTAGATCTCATCTTATAGGTTTCGTCATGGTGGTCCTTTATATTGAAAAATTGATTCAAAAGGGCTCCTGTCATTAAATTGGCTTAATAGGGTTAAGTTTTTAATGAGCTTGGACGTTGACGTGACCAGTTTTTGCCATATCACTCCTGCTACGTCAGTGGCATCTTCCCCAACAATAGAAACCCTAATTTTCCTCAAGAGTGAAACCCTAGCCACAATGAGCAAACCCTAGCGTCGCCGCTGTAAAGCCTTCAGTCTCGTTGTCACCACCTTGCTGCGCCAAAATCGTGAAGCCATCGTGAGAACGCTAGTAGCGCCTTCGCTGCACCGCCACAATCAACGCCACCTTCTTTGCGCATCCACCATCTCGTCGTGCCTCAATGTTGCCGTTGCACAGAAAGCCATCATCCGCCACCACCTTCAACAAATAGAGAGAACCTAGATTCATGGTGGCGATTTGTGCCATCCTCGGACCGCCACAGCGCCTCCATCTCCTTCCACCCCTCTTTCCTAATCGCGAGCGGCGCTGCGACACTACTTCATCTCCATCAACACAGAACCCTAAATCGTGTTAAACCCTAGTTGCGCAAAACCCAGAATCGCGAACTCCTTACGCCGCCGCGAGACCACACCATGAGCGCTCCAACGCCTTCGTTTCTTCTTCCTCGAGCAATTGTGAGAACCAGCGCATCCTTCATCTTTGCAAGTCTTCTTCTTCACAAATTCATCAACCTATAAACCTAGAGAAATAACAAAACACAGAAACAGAAACCCATTGCGAGTTCATTTCTCTCGCACACGCAGAAACATGAGAAAACCCCCAATCTTGAAGAAGAGGCCTTGGGAGACATTGGACTCCACTCCAATCTCGAACTCTATGAATATGTGATTTGTTGCGTCTTTAATCTCGAACCCAATTCGATTTTATTAAACCTTAATTTGGTGATGAACCCTGAACATCAATTGCTATAGTTGAAGATGATGAACGGAGGTTGAAGATGATGAACCATAAAGATAAAGAGGAAGTTTATCTTTTAGGGTTTGTTCTTTAAGAAGATAAATACACAAGAAGAGATGGAGAAGGAAAAAAACGTGAGAAAAGATTTCAACATGAGAAGAAAGGAAGTTGTGAAGTGCAAAGCAAAGAGAAACTGTGAGGATGTGAAGTGCTCATGAGAAGACATTGGAGAAGCTTGAAGGAGGGGCTGAGAACATTGGGCAAACAAGAAAGCCAATATTTATCCAGGTAGGAAATGTTAAATTGGGTTTATCTTTAAATGTGGTGAAATTCCAGAAAAAACACTAGAAGATGGAGGGGGTTGAATAGTATTTTTGGAGTTGGAATGATGCTTAAGTATTAGCATCACTCTTGGTTTTCCTAGTAAATCTTGGTAACACCTATTACATTGACGAGTTGAGTATCACTCATTCTTGGTTTATAGTATTATTCACCACTCCTGGTATCCCCAGACAATCCTGATATCTTTTTTACACGCTGCCTAGTTAAGTTTCACCCACTCTTGGTTCCCACTAGACAATCCCGGTATTAACCTAATACGCTGCTTAGTAATCATTTAACTCAACTAAGTTAATCAACAAGTGTTTGAATTCTCTTCAGAATGTGCAATTAATAAGATTTCTTACAAGTCTTAGATGATTACTCTCATAGAGAGGATGTGTTTGCAATACAACTCAATCTAACAAACTTTGTACAATTTTTTCCCTTCTTACAAGTGTAAGCACTAGTGTAGTAAAGAAAAATGACAGTGGTTATTTTTGCCTAACCGTAGCGGTTCCGCAACCGAGGTATATACAGGTGAGGCAAAAAGTGATAGACTTTTTGCCTCGGTTCAGAACTGAGGTAAAAAGGTGTATGCTTTTGTCTCAGTTAAAATGCAACCGAAGTAGTAGAAGATGTTCCTTTTTTTGTTTTATTTTTTCGCCAGACTTTTGGTCTCGGTTGCTGGTGAACCGAGGCAGTAGGGGGAGGTCTTCTACCTCGGTTGGGGGTTGAACTGAGGTAGTAGGTTTTTTTTTTGTCTTTTGTTTTGTTTTTTCGTTAACCTTTTTGTGTCGGTTGTGGCCAGAACTGATGCCATAAAGGGGATACTGCTTCAATTATGGGCACAAATGATGCCTATTCTATGTGTTTTCTTTAAGAAAAAGCAGGTTTGTTTATGCAACAATCCCAACTACAAAAATAGACTTGCATACTTTAGAATAGTCCAAAAGCATTTTTGAATGAAAATTATAATAAATCATAAATCAATTCAACGTACATAGAATTGTAATCATAAAGCAACTTATAAGCATAAATTCATCAAATGTACAAAATTAACCTAATCATAAATATGCTAATGTAGAACTTACTATATCCTAATATTTATATACTATTATAGAGTTGAATTATATATGTTGCAAGTGTTTTCCTTATGTACGTAAGGGACTTCTTTTGAATTGAAGTAGTAAAATTAAATCTCTGCATAAGACACAATGATTTCAAGTAGTGTATATGAATTCTAAACTATAGAGAAAAAAATTCAATAAAATCAAATATTATTGTTTTCCATCCACTTAACATGGGCACTAATAGTGGTCATAATCTAATACATGATGTAGCAACCACACACATGACCTGTTTTTTCTATTACACTATAATATATCATTATAATTATAAAATGTTAAGGAACATCACTGGAATGGTAAAAAATGTAACAAAGTAATTTAATGATAATGTTAAAGTAATTTAATCAATACTTAAACTAATCTAATCAATACTTAAACTAATTTATGTTAATATCATTTAGATTAGATTGACAATGGGATACTTAAACTAATTCATGCTAATCAATCCTTATTCTACGGCCTTTAATCACAATCCAACATATCATACACAAACTGCAACAATCATTAACTCAAACCATTCACATTCTTCCGAAATCATCAAACAATAAAGTTTTCATACCTTAAATTAAATCAAACAAGTATTTAGTTCACCTTTTTAAAATAAAAATGGAAGAAATGGAGGGAGTAAGGGCTCTGGGAGCATGGTTGCGCAAACACCTAGTGGCAGTGACAAACAACGGTGGCGGCAATGAACAACGTAGTTCGCACGAGACGCAACAACGCTGGCACCATAGCAATGGCGATAACGAGTGCGAGGTGGTGGCAATGGTCGCGTGCGAGGAAGAACAAGAAGAAAAAGAACACAAGGAGCAATGGTTGCGCCTAAGCCTACACAATGAAGAAGAAGAAGAACACGAGGAAGAAAAAGAAGAACACGAGGAATAAGGAGCGCGAGGAAGATAATGAACAGTAAGTTAAAATGGTTTACGTGTCTAACGTTAACTATGCAAAGCGATACTACCTCGGTTCTACCTATTAGCAAGGCAATATACCACTTATCGCCTCGGTTCTTAATGTGACCGATGCCGAAAGTGCTCAGAGAAAAATCAAAATAAAAAAGGAAATGGAAAATTTGAAATTATTTTTAACTTATACGCCTTGGTTCACGGTATAACCGAGGCATAATAACCTTTTAACATCGGGTCTAACTGAATCGAGGCCATAGGGGTTGACCAAACGAATTAAAACATTCAAAAATTAGAATTATCAAGTGTTGGATAGGACATACTGCCTCGGTTGTGTGTGGAACCGATGTCATACGTCCTAACAACACTGCCATGTT